AGTGCCGCCAAGGTTCCAGGATCCAGTTCAAAGAAGAGTCGAGAAGACGTTGACACCGTTTCCATGGCAGATAGCCATATTGGAATGACAACACCAAGTTGGATGGAGACAGATGGACTGCTGATTAATGAAGTCGAGAATTGCTGAAGGTACCGGAGTGAACTGAAGCTCAGCCGGAGTTCCCGCAACGGAGGTTTCAAACCTTAGATTCGCAAATAAGTACAAGTACATTTATTCCGAGACAAGGAGAAAAAGATCCGATACATAGCGGGAGTTGAATCCCGAGGCAATCTCTAGGATTGATATAGATTTGTTGGAAATCATGAAGCCCAACTCCGAAGAGCGGGTAGTCGTTAACAGAGCGAATGGAGGCGATGTTGGTATATATTGTGATGCGTGTGTGACGTGTGAGGTGAAGCGAGGGAGGCGAGGGATCCCAGGATGAACTCCGGAGCGATGCGGAGTCGCGGACGGAGTTGCGGAGTGCTACTTGTCGTTAAATCAAAGGTCCGAAAGTCTGGAGACCTGACCGGAGGAATTTCCGCTGCTGCTGATGACCTTGTACAGCGGAGCCGAAGTGGATCCGCGGTGATCAGCAACGGTACGCACTAGACGAGGACAACCGCCGATGTGGTGGAGCGGAGAACCGCAATACCGGCAGAGGTCCATCTCCTGACGTCTCAGAGCTTTGCTCTTGCGGAGACGTCCCGCACGACCGCCTTCTTGCACAAGGAGGCCCGCAACAGATGCGGAGCGCTTGCGTTCTCGACGAACCTCCATCGGAACCGCGACTTGATATATGCACGGGGGTCCGGAGGAGATCGGAGAGAGCGGAGTGGGTGAGTCGTGGTGGATCGGTAGCGACATGAGTGACGGCATGCCGGAGGAAGTGTCAGAGTGAGTGGGGTTAGGTTTGGCAACGACGGGTGGCTCCGGGGTGCCGGAGAACAACAGATCATTGGCAGCGGGGGTTTCGGAGCCTGCGGGAGCACTGAGAGGCGTTCCGAAGAACCCGCGAGCACAGTCGGCCCAATTCCCTTGCTCCGGAGTACCATCAGGCTGCTCCGGAGTCGCGCTTCCGGCCAGAAGTACCGCCTGCCAGTGTTTGGCATCGAGCCGAATCACTAGAGAGCGGAGTCCGGCGTAGCTGGACGGATACGTGATGAGATCGTCGAGCTGCATGGTGATACAGAGTGGAAGCGCGGAGTAGAGAGCGTGGGAGACTGCGGAGTCATTCCAGGCCATGAACGGGGTGAGAGCCTCAAACTCCTCGAGGAATGGCCCAATTGGATCTCCGTGTTTCATCCGGAGGCGTCGGAGTTCGTAGTCCGCGTCGGCGTGACGACTCCGACGTCCGAACACATCCAGGAATTCCCCGATGAACGTGGAAAAGTTTCCATGCCAGGAAAACTCTTCGACACGGCCCGATTCGTTGAAAAGCTCAGCCGCCTGCCCCTTTAGGAAGTGGAGCATGAAGGCGATCTTGTCTTCGTCCGAGGCGTATGTCCGAGGACGCCTGGAGAAGTGCGTGAAGCACTGGGTGATGAACGAATCGATTTTCAACGGATTGGTGCCGTCGAAAAATTGCGGGTATGGGATGTGAACTGGTCCGAGGTCATGGTACGAGGCCTGGGAACCAGGGACTGGTGGATGAGGGGGAGAATGGATGGGAGAGAAATACTGATCGATGTGCTGATATTCACCGTCGAGGCCGTGGTCCGAGGGACTCGGAGTAGGCGCGGGCTCGGACGGAGTGAGTGTGGTGGATTCCGGAAGGGTGGATGGATCGCTGAATGTCGGGATCCAGGTGCCCGAGGAGGCCAGCCCTTCCCGAGCAGACTGCCGGTCCCCGAAGATCGACTCGGAGTCGGATCTCGACGGAGAGGGCGGTGCCGGAGAAGGATAAGTGGTGAAGCTGGTTCGGACAGACCCGGTTTCCGGAGGACCGAACGGAGTGGTAATCACCGAGATGGGGTAGTGACTAGCATCCGTAGTGACAAGATCAGATGAGCACTTATCGTCGGTAGGCTCGGAGTTGATTTGTGCGGAGGAATACAACTCGGCCCTGTGCCGCATTGATGTCGGCGACAGGAGGAACCAAGGTGTAGTACGGAGCGATGATGACGACATAGCAAATGATACCGAGCAGGTGAGTTTTATGATACTGTTATATCCAAGTCGTCCAGAAGATGGTACGGAGGGATATAGGGCCAGTCGAACTATCAACAGATACGAAGCGGAGCGGCGGGCCGGACAGAACGGAACCGGAGTCCGGAGTCGGAGCTGGTGAAAGGCGGACTGGATGACGCTACGCCGATAATTGGACGAGCGTTACTGCAGGATATCGTCGGAGGGAGAGAGATGACAGAAGCGGAGCTCCGGCGGAGTGTCGGAGCGGAACGACCAGACTACTTCACGAGGAACGGGGTGAAGCAACGTTTATCATAAAACTGAAGTACAGGAGGATGTAGGACAACATTAAATACTAGAGCTCCTTATTGTAATAGGTAAAGGAGATATGTTAGAAACCATGCGGACATAACAATAAAGGTAAGTCCGAAAGGGGAGGAAGAAGTCAGGTGACAAAAGGGACGATGTTGAAACAATAAGTAAGAAGTCGGAGGACTTAGGATAATAAGGAATGTGTAGGATGGCGTCTTGCCAAGGTGTCAGATGGTGGGAGTTCGTTCCGATGTTTTGTCGGAGCTCCGATCGTTCTGTTACTCCGGCGGTCCGATGCGCTCCGAGAAGACGGAGCGCGATCGGAGCCGGAGGGACCGATCGGAGTAGTTTGTCGGAGGTCTTGATGCATGGATATAACAAGGACATAGGATAATAAGGAATGTGTGGGATGGCGTCTTGCCAAGGGGTCAGAAGGTGCGAGTTCGTTCCGATGTATTGTCGGAGCTCCGATCGTTCCGATACTCCGGTGGTCCGATGCGCTCCGAGACGACAGAGCGCGACCGGAGTGGTTCGTCAGAGGTCATGGTGCATGAATATAACAAGGAAGGTCCACCTCCGCCGGACGAGGAGTACCTCCCCTATGGCGACTTCTACGACATGGACGAAGAATAGCACCTCCATGCTGGGGGGCTCTCTGACTATGGCTCGATAGAGGCCCTGAATTCTGCAGCAGTATTACAGAAACCCTGCTTGTCCCCTGATGTGATGTTTTGGCCCAACCTAGATTTTCCCATATCTGCACTGTTCAGAATTGTAACTCAGATGCCTCAGAGATCAACCTTTCGGTTTCGTGGTATCTTTGACTTAGGCGTAGTGCCTCTGTATTGTTTGGTCATTGGGATGATTAGGTACTCCTAATAAATGAATCAGACTCACTTGGACGCGAGTTGAGCTGGAGACACGAATTAGTTCGTGCCCAAACAGCAAAATCCAAAGTCAACCTTGGATTTTGTGAATGTGACCATTATAAGATCCAATATCTGAGCCAACAAGCGATCAAGTAAACAGTCTAGCACCTCAATCATGAGAAGAAACATACCTCAAATCGAAATACAACGAGAATATTGAGGTCCAATGTCCCCGAAATGCCCGAGTTCAAGGTTATGCGAATACACACCATGAGATGCCTATTTCCCCCATATATTGAGAGGCACAACTTCCACAGGGGAGTACTGCTGGAGTGTGGCTGACAGTCCAAGCTCCCTGAGGGCGCTTTTTGCCAGTTCAGGGGTAAGGAGATTGTCATCACTGGAAAGCAAGGTGGGTGCTAAGTATACCATTCAGCACAAGCTCTACTGTAGAAGACTAGCAGAAGACTGCGCACTAGCGTACAAAGAAGAGGAAGCGAAGACGAGCCCTACGCAGAGCTGGCGTGTGAGGTCGTCGAGTGCACACCACCACCACTGCTGCCCCCACCCCAACCGGACCCACTCAATCATGAGGTCGAGTCTGATTAGGAGTGGGAGGGTGAGTGCGTGGGGACGATGGCTTCCCAGCTGCCCCATGGAGGACGCTGCAGCGGCAGCAGCGAGGAGAGAGAGAGCAGATTGCGGATGGGCTCATACCCCCAGTGCGCTCACGCTCCTTGTCTTTTGCCCAACCTGAGGAAAGCGGCTGAGGAGGAGGCAGAGGTGGTGGATGCAGAGGACGGGGGGGGGAGGGAGGGGAGGTGTACCTGAGGGCATTTGGATGAGTTGTCGGCGTGGACTGAATTTGAAGTGGGAGGGGAGTTGGAGGAAGGGACGAGACGCCAGCCTGGGCGCTGGAGCGATTAGACAAGCGGGATTAGGAGGACAGCGCGACATTACGACTCCCCATTCAATCCGGGACTGATCGTCAGTGATGCCACCCCACAGATGGCGTATTAGGTTGAAGAGAAACAGCTTGAATTATAGAAGAGTTTGCAATAGAAAAGAAAGGAGGAGAGACAACTTACGGATTGCGACACTTCAATCCAGTGATTGATGAGGGCAGGAAGTGTGGTGTGCATGTGTTTGGCTGGGGCGTCTACTCCGACCGTGATTGCTGCTTGCAGCTGCTTCAAGAGCACAACCACAGCAAGTCATGCTTTGACAACACAGCTCCTCGCCTATCGACACGGATCTGAGACTTCCTTCAATGAAGACCTCGGAACGTAGCCTTCATTCACAGACCGGTGGTGCTTCTCTCATCCATTTGGTGCAAGCTTGGGACTCACCTTGTGTCAACCTGGGTTTTGAAACACTGGGCCCTATCTTGTGCTCCTGCTGACTGGTTATTCTATTTACTATCCTGGACAGCTGTGAGCTATCACTTTGTGATACACTCAAGCGCAGCGGAAATCAGTAACGAAACGACTCACGGAGGAAATCACGATAAGCCTCAGAGACTACACGGCATGCTACAGCTGTCACGGAGGTTTTTCCCACGGTTGAAAACTGACCTGGCGGACGCTCTCTGCGCGGACAAAAAGGTAACACACTGCACAACAGAACACACGCACTACGGAACATGACTACGGAATGCCCGCGGAAAAAGGGTAGCAAAATTACCAACAAAGGCCCGACCTCGAATCGAACGAGGGACTCGCAATTGCACTATTGCGAGGAAAAACCAACAATGTGCGTGTTACCAGTTACGCCACCGGGCCTATACTGCAAACAGTCATGAAACAACAATCGACACCCACAGAATCACTCACGGTTGAATACTTGCGCACGCTCTCTCCGTGACGGAAAAACACACCTACGGAGCATGGGAAAAAAGGGAACACGGCCTGACCTCGAATTGAACGAGGGACTCGCAATTGTAATATTGCAAGGAGAAGTTGACTGCAAATGCGCACGTTACCAGTTACACCACCAGGCCTATACCTCAAATAACCAGCAATCAATATCAAGGAGTGCCACACGGACATATTCACGGACGACTTACGGATCGCTATGGGACATGCGAAGCGACGGGATCAGGCAAACGTAAAGGTTGTGGGGGCAGCTTTCCGTCGAGCCTAACGGAAGGCGTGTGCGTCAACTTAATGGAGAACATGGGAGTCGAACTTTGCAGAGGGCATGTGAGGATCCACAGGGAGGACAATACAACGGAGGCTTCACGGAGAAGTTCACGCGCGGTAATCGGGCGGGAATACATATAAAAGCCAGATGTATTTACCAAGGAAACTATCTTGTTATCCCCCACTGCTCACACCTAAGCTACCCTCCCCCCAGCCTTACGGGGCGGAGTTGTCTCTCATATACACATACTAGCTCAGGCTACGCCGTCCTCTGTGGCGCTAGCTAAATAGGTCACTTGGATTGAAGGTTCACCAAGGAACCCTTTCTAAAGGTCCCTTCGACTCCGTAAAACGGGTCGGGAGGAAATTGTTGAATACAAAGGCGTTGGTCACGGCGCAGTCGATGAAAAGTGCGTACTTCTAAACAGCCAGCAGCCCCTACTTAGCTGCGTGCAACTGTTGTATTGGAGGCTCAAACACAGATCCGTGCACAGGGCACCACTCCCCATCTTCACGGAAGGCTTAACCGTGAAGATTATAACCACTCCACCATTTCATTCGAACACAACTTCGCCACGCTCGTCACGGAACCTCATCCGTTGCGCGTTCACACAAGCACAGAAAGAAAACGGGCTACGGAGGAAAAGAGCTATAGCCCGCTCGCGCTGTGTTAAAACCCACGTTTTGAAGACACTGCTTGCCCGAATAATACGAGGCAGGGAGAAAAGAGAAACCCCCACATCACCCAGGTCTCCCGGCTCGGATCGACGCTCGCATTGCGAAGCTCTATTCCTTTGCGCAAGTGTAGAGCGACCTCCAACCGCGGCTTTCTTGGAAGGCTAGCCCCTAACGAGGAACCTAGTGCTCACATCCTAATCCTCACGGAAACAGATTGTACCATCTCACCACCACCACCACAATTATATAAACCTTCCGTAGCGTACAAGTAGCTATGTTTCTCCGCAACAGAGTAATTTCCCTCTAGAGGATGAATCACCTTCGTGTACTTGCCTGAAACCAATTCACTGGTCAGACATCTCACGGAACCGCAGTCCGCATCACACCGCCGGTAAACCAATTAGGACTGAAACCACCTCGGCCTGGTGTGGACCTTGTTCTCGTTACTATGCCTCGGCATTTGCAAGCTGCTGGGATCCTGCTTGCCTGGGCGTCTACTTGCGCTCGACACATGCAATTTAACTCGCTCTTCTGATATCGGATCTCCTTTACTTGAGGAAGTTAAATTCACAATGATTGGCTGGTGCATCTTTTCTGTCCTCAGGTTTACTTGTCGTCATCGACTCTATGTTCAACAATTTGAAGGGAAACAATAACTAAATGGTGTCAACACAGAATTTTTCTCTGGGGCAGGGCCTAGGCTTGAATGGAACAAATAGCTCGCAAGTATTATGCATGCATTATGCAGGAGATATTGCCAGCAATCACGGACCATCGCTACTAGGCCTTTCTATGTCGGTGGGTTATAACAGTAAGCCCAGAAGTTTTCCGTGGTTCACACCCTGAGAGCATGTGCTCCAAAATTTTGAGTCCAGTTTGCAACTAGGATGGAACCCGATTCCATTTCTACTGGTGCTTGTTGTCCACCCCTGGATGCTGCGTCGCTTAACCTCGGGTATTTTGATTGTTCCTATATGCTTGGGTCAAGTACCTAGTGTCCGTATCCTTCAAATAACATTCACTCGCTTGTACTCCCGGTTCATGGCCATGTTTCCTGAGTCTTCCGGCGTTACAATGCTCATCATGTTGACAAAGAAGATACCCCACAAAACAAGAAAAAAAAACCTTGGTTTCAACTGCAACAGAATGCCTCAGGCCCGAATCGAAGTTTAAATTGAACGACCCGCTCGCAAGTATAGTTTTTAGCCAAGTCCGTGGACATTGTTAGCGCGTGCGGACCACCGCCACTGGGGCTCTTCTTACTTGCGGGATGAGTAGATTACATGGGCAACTTTTCGGTCAGTTTCTCAACTCGACTTTATCTGGGACTCCTCTGTTGATCTGGCACCGCGTAACACCCAACAGTATCAATTATAATATCCCTGCATCCCGGTGGATTCTGCTTTGCGCTCTTTGCTTCGACGGCAGTGATCCATTCAACATGCATAGGGAGCACTTACTCGGGAGCCCACCGAGTCCCGCTGGTTAAATTCAAAATACTGACTCGGGCGTCCACACTTTTCTTGTTGCGTCTTCTGGGTTTGGTGATTCTCATCGTGTCGAGAAAGGAACACCCTTCGCAAAACAAGAAAAAGTGCTCGGTTCATTCAGAATGACCCAGGCTCGGATCGAACGACCGAGCCCGCAAAGTATTATTCCGAAACCACTTTTAAAATGCGGATGCGGACCACCACTACCAGGTCTTTTCTTCTTCATGGTTATCCTTCTTAAGACCGGCTCTTTGGATAGTGGATCCTCTGACTTTGGGGTCAGTTGCGACATCCCAAATGATCTTACCGCTTGTCATTCTATATTCCATCTGCCTTTCACCCAAAGAAAAATCAAAGTCCAGGAAGTCCCATGGCTGCGATACTTGGCCCGTAAGAATGCCCACCTAGCCATTCCAACTATGACCCATGCTCAAATCGACTGAGTCGCTCACAGCCATTCTCTGGATATGCGCAATATTGAGCGAGTGCGGACCACCACTACTGTGCCTTTTTTGGTTGCTGGATAAGTTGAGCAAATTTCTCGGGTCAACTTCATTCCCGCTTAGTGAAACACTGAAGACTATTTCTTCTCCGCCAGCAACCAACTAGGATGGAGATTCAAACCTATTCGGAGTTTGGTCTCATGCTCGTGGCCCACACCTGGATGCTGCGCGATCTCAAGTTGCATGAAACTCGGGTCCCTTGTCTGTGCCTACATTCTCGGGCCCAGCATACCGTGACCGTGTCCTTAGAAAAAAAAAATTGCCGGCTCGTAATACCAGATTATCAATGACTTATTTCTATTTACACTGTATCTGGCCAGTAGGCTACGTAGCAGTACACTAAACTATAGTAGGTGGTGGCTTGTAAGTAAATAACTCTTGGGTGTGATATGGGACTTTTTACTTACAGCATACATCTACTTAACAGCCTGAACCCTATGTGAACGCCGGGGCCGAAACCAGAGAAAAAAAATGAGGGCATCCGAGTTGTAAGCACATATTGCAAGGCCACCTCAGGGTGTGAATTTTCCTCCCGCAACAGGGTTTCAGCAACAGAATACACTCACGCCCGAAGGTAAGAAAGGCTATCCAAATAGAGGAAGTCAAAGTTGAGAACTCACGGCTGATTTACAAGTTAATTCTCGTTTGATTCCAGCTTGATTCTGTCCACATATATTCTGAGTTGACTCTTGAGCAATCAGTCAGTACTCGATCCCAATCATCCGGACTACTCTCAAGTCTGCAAAGCTTTAGATTATAACCCATCTATGTCTTAACCATTAACAGAAGGCATATTAACCATAACTGAGGGCAATTGTTCACGGTGACACACTGGCATAGCATAAGGTCAGTATGAATTTCATTTCTTTGCGCTACTAGGAATCCTCCTCCAAACTCTCATCGTTGGCATCATCATCATCCTCCTCCTCCTCCCCTTCTTCATCATCCTCTGAGCGTTCATCTGCGCTTTCACTTCCACTGGATGGGTGACAGTTAGCCTGCTGGAGAGATCGCTGGCCATTCACGTACTCAAAATAGTCCTCTCCAAGCAAGTTCCAGGACTGTAGCGCACATATTCGTTCACCAGAAAGCCTGCGGCACAGATGCTTGAGACAACCTTCCACGTCGCCGCTGAACCGAACTCCATGTATGAGAATTTCAATGATGGAAATCGAAGGGAATGATGAGCTTCCATGGCTCCGGTACTCTTTGAGGGACTCAATCATGAGGACCATTGCATCACCGTCGAGGGCGTTGGTCAAATCACGGGCAAGGGAAAAACATGTAAGCTGCGGAAGGGAGAGCAACAATGATGAGGGTGTTGGATCAAAGGTGAAGAGCTGGAACAAACCCTCTGTCATGCAAGTGTCCATTAGGGATAGTTTTTTTAGACCGGGAGTATGGCAAAGGAATTCTATCAGGTCGCCAAACTCTATCATGACCATGGTCAGTGTTAACTGGAGAAGGTTAAACCCTGATCGCTGGAGCTGGAGCAGAGCTGCAGCGAGCCATTCGGGATGATGAGCTCATTGAGGTAGAGTGATTTTAGGTTTGCCAAGGAGAGTGGGCCAAACAAGAAAAGCGGTGCCTCCTCCTGGTTCTCCAGGCCAGCCACAGCGGGCCGACAAAGAGTGGACAGTGTACTGGGGGGGTGCTGGGGTGCGGGTGCCAAAGTTAATAAGCAACCCACATATCCCTGCTCCAGTGCGTTACACTGGGTGACGCCACAAGAATTGTGCTCACAATGTCGAGAATCGGTATACAGATTCACAAAGACGTCAATTGGGCCCATCAAAAGTTGGTGGTTATGCTCTGTGGCAGCAGGGATGTCACCTCTAAATCGAAATGACAGAGCAATGGTACATCCTGGAAGAATTGGAGCAGCCCGCTGACACTGGTGCGCACAGGACTGAGTGTACAATCTACAGCAATCAATATGGAAAGTATCGACTCAGAGAGCTTGGGAAAT